TAAAAAATAATTCCGCGGGCCCACGTTGGCCCTCTTTTACAACGTTTTTTTTTTTCTTCCCCCCCCCCCCCCCGCCCCCTTCTCGGGCATACCAGCAAGGAACAAAGTATAAGTAGGGAAGGCATTATATACATGCTATATTGAGCAGTATTGCCTCTTTCTTTGGTCTTACAAAAACTATTTGTATTTAAATAGAAACCATTAATAGAGTCTCTTGTCTTCCTCCTTCTTCCTACTTGGAAGAGTTGTAATAAGAGTGCTTAGTTTAGTTAAAGTATTTACTTTTTTAATAAAATGTTTTATTTGAACCATATACATACCCCCTTCTGCTTCCCTGCTGTAACAAAGCAAATCAGTCATTTGCTAAATCAGTTCATTGGTACATTTAAATTTCTTTCTTTGTATTAGGTTTTCTAAAACTATTTCTTTTAACAGCCTGAAGTACTTGAACAACTGAGTGGGTTAAAGGAATTTTGGATGGATGGTAATAGAATAACACTTATCCCAGGGGTAAGCCTTTCTGACATTTTAAATGCATTATATTTCAACTCTGCAGTGGTACCTGTCCCATCAATTAACTTGTACATTACAAACTGATACTCATTTTTAATATAACATGAAACCAGGATTTCATGCTCCTGCTTAATTATCACTTTTGAAAGTTGTCATTAATTTCTTGAGTTATAGGCACAAACAACATGTTTCACTGAAAGCAATAGTTCTCTCAGTTTTAGATTCATATCTAAGACCCAAATTCAGCAGAAACTTAGATCCAAATCCTGTTTTTATTTAGGGATGTCCATTTTTTTCTGCAAAGGAATTTAGAGTTTGTACTGGAATTCACACGTATTTTGTATGAGCTTATATGAAGGCTGTAGAATGACCAATTATTGTATGTCACTTTTTGTTAGTCACTTTTTACTTAACCCCCTTACATGTCCAGGACTAAACTGGGTTTATGTAATGGCTCTCTGATTTCAGTGGGTTAAGGATAGGCCCTCTACATAAAAATAAATGCTGCATTTGATAGCATGATGGATATAGAATACAAGTAGCACAGTAATTCTAAGAATGCTTTACTTCTACTGCAGCATAATACTTTAGAGAGAGTTCACTGTCAGGACTACTAGCTTGTTTCCAAGAAGTTAGTATTAACCCTTTTTCGTTTTTAGTTCATAGGCACTTTGAAACAGCTGACCTATTTGGATGTTTCTAAAAACAACATTGAAATGGTTGAAGAAGGGATCTCAGGCTGTGAAAGCTTACAAGATCTGTTGTTATCTAGTAATTCACTTCAACAACTGCCAGAATCCATTGGTTTGTATCATCATATAATTAATGCCTTAAAAAAGTAAGGTAACTATAGTATAAAATGTTATGGGAAAGGCATAGAAACCCTTTGAACCCAAAGTCAAAACATGGTGTTAAAGCTCTTGTTTTGATAAATATTCAAGCCATGTTAAATAAAAACATAATGCATAGTTGAATATTGTTTTTATATTTTTTGGCTATAGAGTTCTTTATTTTGATAAACTTTTCATAAATGAATGAGAAAGTATTGACTTGATTTACTTGAATAGAAACAGAAGATTTATATCTTCTGTATGACTGATGTGTTAAGATGAAAAGAAAGCACCATAAGCTAAGCTGCTTGTTTCTTAAGGAGATGCATATCACACATCTCTTGAGAGTTCATGGGTACAGAAGCCAGTGTGCCATGCCAGTAATTCTTTTTCTTAACTAAAGCTTTATTTTGTAAATATCATATTTTTCTTACCTAAATGCCCATTTTTATTAGATTTTCATTTTATAACAGGTTCACTAAAGAAAGTAACAACACTTAAAATTGACGAAAACCAGTTAATGTATTTGCCAGACTCCATAGGAGGGTAGGTATTTCACCTGAATAAAGCTTTGTCTTGCTTTTCTGCAAGTTCTTCATTAACATTGACCTACTCTAGGGTGGCATAGTGCCTGTCTCTGCTTGATATGAATTCTGCCACTGAATATCCTTCTACTATCCTAGAACTGTGAATCAGTTTTCTTGATTAATTACTTGCTTTTAATGTAGCTTAACCAAAAGCTTTCACATCTAACACCATTTTTTGTATTTCTAAGGGGCTGTTTCCTGCATTCAGAAATTGAGGCATCCATACACATTGTGTAGTGGAGGATAGAATAATGCAGACATGTTTACTAAAAATACTGTTAAATTAAACCAGTGGTGCTCATGGTTTGGCCCCTGGCAGGCCAATCCATGGGCTGAATTTGATTCCATACAACCTCCTGCATGTCAGGATGGCCTTGGGTGTTCCATGCTGCTTCCTTGTGGCTGGAGTCTGATTCTGCCTGGGCCGGGCAGCTTAGGGTCCCTGGAGCCCAATCCTGGAGGTGGGGGGCAGCATGGGACTCCTTACTGCCCAAATTGGCCTTGGGGCCCTGTGATGCCTCCACCTGGCTGGGCAGGTGTGTCATGGGGCCCCAGGACCTGATCCTGGCTAGGCAGGGGCTGTGTGGGTCCCCAGGACCCAATTTAGCTGGGCAGAGGAGGCTCAGGACACCATGCTACCCCAGCCAGACTGGAATCAGGTTCTGGGGGCCCCATTACACTCCTGCACACTGGAATCAGGCCCTGAACACCTGATTTAGCATGTGGGGCCACAGCCCCAAGGGCTTCCCAGTGATCCATGGTGAGTCCTATAGGCCAAATAATATAGCGCCAGGGGTTGACAACCCCTGAACTAAACTGTTGTAATGGGGCATGTTGCACGGAGATCTGTTTCATAGTTTTGGTTATGCAAGTTAGATATAGTTAGATATGTGAGAGTGAGATAAACACTCCAGCTACTATCACATAATTTTTTGCAATGAAAATCTCAAATACCACGTATTTGTATGTTCTATTTTGGCAATGGGATACTATTGTTTACAGTTTTTTTCCCTACCATTATATGAAATTTACTGACCAGGTTGTTTGAGTGAAACCATTTTTATTATCATCCTCTGATATTTACAATTTTTACCACAAAAATAAAAAAAAATAAAAATCATTGGTTCAGAGTTTAAATACTGTAGACATTGTTTTATTTCAAATAAGTCTATTTAAAGCTTTAGGGGTATTGGTTGTAGCTGTGTTGGTTTAAGGACATAGGCAGACCAGGTTCTTTGGGTAAATCTGATATCTTTATTCAGCCAACTAAAGAGCTGCAAGCATTCTATGAATCTACTTTTATGGAACTTGTTAAATTATGCTTGCTCACCAGAATTCATGTTTGCTGCTTCAGTGCAAATTTCTCTATCCTTGTTAAACTATTAAAAATATCTTCATCCTTTACCCATTAATGGAGCTAGGACTGTCTCCTGGTTCTGGCAGTCTTACTTGGAATAGTTCCATTATTTGGTAGGAACAACTCCAATATGATCCAGTGCTAAAAAATCTAAAGTAGGGTAGCAGTGTCCTTAGCTCAGATTTAAAGCTACATTGAAAGGACTATGTTGGCATAGGGAGGATTGAAGAAGTGAAATGGAAGTTCTCAGTGGTGGCATAGAACAAAGAGCAGTGATCTCAAGTTGTCACAAGGGAGGTTTAGGCTAGATATTAGGAAGAGCTTTTCACTAGGAAGTAGTAAAGCACTGCAATAGCTTATGCAGAGAGGTGGTAGAGTTTCCATCTTTGGAGATTTTTAAGACTCAGTTAAACCAAGCTTTGGCTGGGATGATCTGGTTGCAGCTGGTCCTGTTTTGAGCAGGGGGGTGGACTAGACGGCCTCCTGAGGTTCCTTTCAAACCTAATTTTCTATGATTCTGTAATTTTAAATAGCTAAGAGTAAGTTCTACTCTGGCTTGATTTGGGAGAATTCATGAAAATTACTGTTCAAGGAAGTACTTGATCATTTTAATGCTTATTTTTTGCCACCAAAACATTTAAGCTCCAATCATAAATGTAATTCCAAATGAATATGGTCTTGTATACAACATTTAATAGTTGTTTTTCAACTGGTATGCTTATTTAAATACAATATAGGTTTGATATTTTGAATGTCTTTAACTTTTTAGATTAATATCAGTAGAAGAACTGGATTGTAGTTTCAATGAGATTGAAACTTTGCCTTCATCTATTGGGCAGCTCACAAACATACGGACCTTTGCTGCAGATCACAATTTTTTAACGCAGCTGCCACCAGAGGTATGTTTTTACTTACAGCCAATTATAATAGTTTGATTCCTTCAATATTAAACGTGAACCTAACTCCACTTTGTTTTATGTGGATCCAAGGTGGTATATTTTGAGCAAACTTTCTAATATTCTTTTAAAATGTAATTTTTGCATGCGTGCAAGCATATACACAGTCTTTGAAGTATTGAAATCAAATGCTAAAATAGTTTTAAGACAAGCTATTTATTTGCAGAAGAAATATTTAAGTTGTTTGATTGAAGATCACATTTACTTGCATACCACAAGTACCTTTCCTTCCCCCTCCCAGTTAGGCTTCCAAAATCAGGATGTGTGTCTTAAGGCTGGCTTTTCTCTTCTGGAATAGAAGCAGGACAAAGCTGTGTTTTAATGGATGCCATTTCTTTTTGGCTTAGTAAGCAGCACGGGAGAACCTGTGTTATAAACCTCTTATAGCTAATACTGGCTATGTATTGTAGCTTGTGCCTGAATAAGCAACTGAGCTGGCTCAGAGCAATGAGCTGCTGCGGGCAGTCTGTAATACCTTGCTGAGGCCTGTGGTGTGAAACATTTCATTATTTAAAGGAAATTAAATAAATATAGTAAAAAAGCAACAGCCTTTCTACTGTCCTTGCAAAGGTCTGGGGCCCAGCCTTGTTGGTGCCCCTGCTATACCAGGAATTTCCTGCTGTCTCACCCAGAAGGTCTCCTGGGATGCCACACTTCCTGGATGCTCTTGTATTTCCAGGAGGACTTATTCTGACACACAGGCAGCCATAACTCTGAAAAAAACCCTTTTCCCCCTACATTCTGTCTTCCCACAAGGTGCGTGACTTATCTGGGAGCATGTGGTATGCAAGAAAATACAGTAGAGAAAGAATTGTTTTTAGTATATACCATAATGGCATATTTTTTTTCATATTTAAGAATAAATGTGATTAAATGAAATAATATATGCAGAAATAATTTTGATACTAAATGTATTCTAAAACATTGTGACTATTAGTACATATAGAGTAATTAAATTGAATAATCATATTCATTTTTTCAGATTGGAAACTGGAAACATGTAACGGTACTATTTCTGCATTCTAACAAGCTTGAAGTTCTGCCTGAGGAAATGGGTGATATGCAGAAATTAAAAGTCATCAATCTAAGTGACAATAGGTTTGTGAATTACAATAATTTATGTAGGTATTACACAAAAAGCAAAAGTATTGATTAGAGGCATAGCTAGGAATGTAAATTGCAGGTGTTTCTGAACTTAAGCGTTGAAACATTTTGTACAAAACGTACTCCTATTTTGCCTGCTCCTCCAAAATTATTTTGATTGGGAGGGGGCGGTCTTTCTCTTCAGAAATATAAAATAATACTTTTATTTAGTATTTTATCTGTTATGGTTCTATTCTTACTGCTTTTTTGGTGTGTCTAGACTTAGTTGTTTTTTTTTACTAGCTTCAGTAATTTTTCTCAGTCACTGTAGTGTGAGTAGTAACTCAGTGCTGTACAGTTTTTTGCTATTAGGTTTCATGGGCTGCTCATGAATCCAACAGTACCCTATAAATTGTAAAGTCAGAATTATTTTAATGGCCTTCATGGCTTTACCTCATTTGTGAGATTATTAACCTTTACTGTTTTAGGAGTTTGATATTGATATTTTTAAAAATGTATCTTTCTGCTAAGCCTTGAATGACATAGCCACAGGACACAGTCTGTTATTACAGTATTGTGAAATGTATCTTTCATTTTACTAATACTGATCGGTAACATTCCAACAAAAACAGCAAGAAAAAATCTTTGAAACTGAGACATTTTGAAGAGACAGCATAATTATGAGCAAGGTAAAACTTGAATTGAACTCTAACAGCTTATTTGTCCAGGTCCTTGACAACCTTATGATGCAGAATGGTCCTCAGAGTCAGGGTACCCTAGCATTTTCCACGTTCTGAGACTTAAGGGTAGCTACCTGCAACTCCAGTATTTTTCATGGAAATTTTGGGGTTTCATTCCTAATTGACAAGAAGCTAAATATTAAAATAATCCAGAAATACCTTTGGGGTTTGCCTTCTGTCTCTTTCTCTCTCCTTCTCTTTTTATAAGTGTTTTCTTAACTTGTGTTAAAAGAGCAGGTGGACAAGTAACTTTGGTTTTAATTTGCATTAGCAATTCAAGTTCAAACAAGATTTTCTATAGTTGTACCCTTTTGTTACTAAACTAAACTAAATTCCAGGTTACTTTGTCTTCATTACTAATTTAACCTGATTGGCAAACCCATGTTAAGAATGTACATTCAGATGTACTCTTTCTGCACAGCGTTAGCATTTAATTTAAATTAATGCTTGTGCCTCAAGTCATTATCCATTTATTTGTCTGACAGCAGTTTCTTTAAATGTTATGCAAGCTTGTTGAAGAAAACAAATAAGCATTGTTTGTGAATAGGCCATTAGTCGTGACACCCATGCTCAGATTAAATTTTCTCATTGTAAATAGTCATTTGTTTCTTTCACAGACTGAAGAATTTGCCCTTTAGCTTTACAAAGTTGCAACAGCTGACTGCTATGTGGCTATCAGACAATCAGGTGAACAGATTTTTTTTAAATATATTTGGATAATTGGATCTTACTGAAGTTGTTCCTAAGAGATGTAGATAATGTCTGGAGTTATCGGCTACATAAAAAGTGATTTTCTGTGTATACACATATACCACCTTGGTGTTTACATTTTGTCAACTCTCATTAACTAAACAGCATTGTGTCCACTAGAGTGGAAGACTTAAATTCCAAGCAAACCCTCAGTGCCAGAGCAGATCATCTAATAGGTACCGTTCTTGTCTTTGAGTCAGGTTTTGTGCACACAGAGAAAATAAGGTCATAACTTAGAACATGCTAACTGCTCTGCATTATTCCTCATCTGTAAATTTAGGATCACTTCCTTTTCTACCTGTTTCTTTAGGGAATTCAGCATGCTGGAATAGATTCCACTTAGATGTCAATTAAGTAGAACAGCACCTGGTCCTTGGTGTTTACTTTAGTGTAAGTCCGCTTACTCAACATTGTGCTTACTAAGAGCATCCATGTGGAACATTCATACAGAGTAGCTGATATGCTATAAATTCACAACCTAACTTACTGCACTCTATCTTCCATGTGTAGTCATGTCTTCTGTACTGAACCACCATGTAGAGTGTAGATACTAAGGAGTATCAGTAGACATATAATATTTCTGCCCTCAAGATCCCTACATTCTTGTTAGAGAAGGGTTCTGAACTAGGTGTCTTGATCAAATTCTTGTGTATAAAATTGTTCTATGTATATATATTTCCCCTGTGGTTTTAAATAGATGAAGTCTGTTCCATGTGGAATAATTTGAGACTATGAAATATCCTGGAATGAAACTGAATATTTTCCTGTACAGATTTCCAGTATTTTGTCAATGTTGAAGAGACTGTTATATAGAACTTGTGTTCATGAAATTCCCAAGCCAGCATTATAAAATGTATACTTTTTGGTGAAAGAGGCAAGGATTTTCCTAGGGTGGTATCTTTTATTGGTCTAGCTGCAGAGTTGGGACAGTTCAACAAGCTTCTGAATGCAAGACATTTTTCATCCATACTTCTATGATATAACTTTTACCTTGTATAGCTTTTAAACATTCTTCAGAGAACAATATATAGGAGTTAATGCCAGACAGTTTATATCTTCAGAATTATACTTTGTATTGCGCAGGTAAATAGCAGGGATTTACCTGTTTTATATCCTATTCACCCATTATATGTGTGTATTCTTTTGCTTTTTCAGTCTAAAGCACTAATTCCCCTTCAAAAAGAACTTGATCCAGAGACACAGAAAACAGTGCTTACTAATTATATGTTCCCTCAGCAACCAAGGAATGAAGATGGTAAGAATTTCTGAAACACTCTTTTTAAGTAGTTGGGCTGATGTTTTCCGTACTAAGTATCTGTACCAAACTGAATGTTTAGGAAAATTTCAACCAAAATGGTTTAGTTACTTCTGAAAGCATGATTTATGGGAAAATGTATTTTTTTCCATATAAAAAAATCATAGAACTATTAATTGCAGAAACTCTACAGTCAATGTGCTTATGAGCAATGACATGAAATTTTGCATTGAGTGGTCATTGTGTGAGGTATTTGCTGTCTCTTATTCTCAAGAAAAAACACTCATTTAGCTATGTAATAGGATCTTGAAAATTGCTGTTTTCAGAAAGCTCTTCTCAGACCCTCACAGCTGAAATCCCCAAAAGTTCCATCCATGCTGAGCATGATGCAGCCCCTAGATCAGAACACCAGAGACTGTACTAGTACTCTCCCTACAAAAATGCTGAGCATGCTCCAGGCAGGGTTAAAGGAGCTGAATAGGATTGCTGTGACCTAAGTGGTCTGGGCACAAGACAAACCATCCTGGGTTTAAAATTGTTATGGCTGATGGCCAGGCAACATGGTGGAGGAAAATGTGGAAAATGGTGATAAGAGCTGGACCAGGTGTAAGCATGAGAGCAAGGGTAGATTGGAAGGAGTCTCAAGTCAGATGGAAATGACTGGGACTGGTTGGTCAAATAAACTAGAACTGTGAGTTGGGAAGGGAAATAGGGGAGAAGATTGAGGAAGCAGCTAAAATGAGATGAAGACCTGGGGAGGTTGGGATTGAAAGTCACTAAAGAGAGTGTTTGGAACATATCTGATGAGAACCTGAGATGTAAGGAGAGAACTGGAGCTGGCAAAGTCAAATACTCCAAACTTAGAAAATGCTAGAGTTAAAGCTGTCTGTGCAACTGTATGTCTTTTCCCTTGTGGTATACAGGAGTCTTTCATCAGCAACCTGCATTCAGGAATTTTCTAACTTGACAGAAAACATTTATCACATTAATGGAATGTCTCCATCTTCTCATCTGTTCAGTTACTTTTTCTTTCTTTTGCTCACCTGCACTTACTTTGCTGTTACTTGGTTCATTTCCCTCTTTCATTTGGACAATTTACCTACATTCCTCTCTGTTACAGTGTTGCCCTGAGGGGTCAGGCCAACGCTCAGGATCTCAATATTGCACTGTTAGACAGGAGGGCGTGATGTACAACTGCACATGCACACACTCACTAGGTGCATACACCCCTATTAGGCATACACACTACCAGCTCAGGCACATACACTATACACCCCAAATGTTAGACACAGATCACTAATTTGTATCTCTCTCTCTCTCTCTCACGCACACGGTCTGTCTGTCTGTGTATTCACTAATTTACACACATACCACCCACATACACACAAGTGAGTTCCTAAGTTGGGTATTGTGATATGTATGTATGTATGTGCTTGGTGTACTTGGGATACCTGCAGAAAGGTTAAGGTAAGAAAGTAGAAGTGTAGGG